ACTATTAAAATCTGTTACTATATTTGATGTTATAGCAAGTACATTTGTCCAGACCCACAGGATTTTCTTTTAATTGTTTTCAAAGTTTTTAGTGTAAGCCACTCAGAATTGTTATGTAGTTTAAATCTCATAAATAAATAAATAATGTGAATATCAGTAAAGTTTTTGTAATTTGCTTTGGTTAAAGCTTAATGTACTTATGGATTGGCATTTATAATGCAACTGAAATGAACAAAACTCATTTTTGTAGAGTATAACTGATACCTATTGATTATATGACAAAATGTTACCAGCTACTGATAATCCTTACTACTGAGTGTCCTATATTTTTTTTCTTTTTCTTTCTGTCCTATATTCACGTGTTTCTGGCATTTCTGCTGGCATGCTGTGTAGAACTAAGTCCATAAATGTGCATGTTTAAGTGCAGCTCAGCATTTTCTCATTTATTTTCCAATGAACCTAACACGGCTTTATTTGATACATACATTAAAATTTAATAATTAAAAGTGGTATATTTCTTGTCCAACTCTAATATTTTATATTTATAAAGATAAATGCCTAGCATTCTTTTAATATTTACAAATATGTTCAATTTTAAAAGAGTGCCCAAGATAAAGTTAGGTTCTTCTAGATGGAACAAATGTTCTGTATTTTATCTTTAAACTACTTGTGAAAGATATAAATTGAAACAAGACTCTTACCTTATTTGAATATTAGCTTGTTCCTTGATTGAAAACCCAGAGTAGGTAAGACGCAAACACACAGAAAAGACAGTTCTTTTTCCCCATCAGGTTATTAATTGTAGTCAACTTAGCCATTGCTGTTAGACTTTACAATTATTACTGACTGCTAAAACTTGTAATTCAAGTTTGAAGCAATGGGCACTGTTATTTCCTTCAGTAATAACACAACTTAGGTAGCTTTCAACCATGAATATAGGGGTTAGATAGTCTATGTATAAATAACTTACAGTATTTAAATAATATGGTACAGTACTAGAAATGTATAAAATATTTCACAGTTAAAACACCCTAATCCCAGAAGTCCTATTCAGTCTTCACTGGAAATGTCCTAAAATTAGAACAGCTTTTTCCAACCACAATGGAAATTTGAATTTGTTCTTAAAATGTGTTGTTCTGATTACAAAATAGAGGTCAGAGTATAAAAGGATTGCTAATTCAAGTCAAAATAAAACTGAGGGCACTGACCAACATTTATTGTTAGCTAATGCACACCTACTTAACTTCCTTAAGAAGCCCCTTGAAAGCAAGGTTCCGCCTTCCCCAGTCAGGTCTCCTCAAGATGTATTGGGGAAATAATTTGGTCTGAGAATTTGGGGAGTTGAGTCCTAGTCCCAAAACATCTTAAAGTTACAGCTGGGAGAGGCTACCTTAGCACTTTGCACGTAATGAACCTAAATGTTGAATAAAATATCTCATTATCCTGGATTCACAGTTTATACAAGTAAAAGCAATGAGTTTTGCTGCTCACCATGCCTTTAAGCAAAACAAAAAATCCAAAACACTGAACAGCAAGGAGACCCTTAAGAAAAGCCTGAAATGTATCGCAGCTGGGGGTGAGGGGGGTAAGAGTGGGAAAATATGTATAAAAGTCTGCTCTTATTTCTAGAGGATCATTTTCAATATAAAATGATTGCAACTGAAAGTTCTGATTTACAGTGCTGGCTGCATATGGACTCTGTTTTATAACAAGCCAATTTTATAACAACAAATAAAAATTTCTAATAACTATTAGGAATGATTCTTTAGGAAATATGAATTTCAAATAGGATATTACATTTAAACTAATCTATCCTATAAGGCCATAATAATTTTGAGGCACAATACAATGAGTTATTAATGCTTACATCTTATAGACTGAACTATAGCTAAAGCCATGCCACCCAAAAAGATTGTAAGTAAAAATACATATTATAAAGTTCTCCTTGATGCTAGTAAACACAACTGTGACACTTAGAAATCTGGGGAATTGTCCCAGAAGTAGAAAATTGCCTGGTTCCTGTGATTTGTGTTTGTGCATGATGTGCAAACCTATCCTCGGTGATCCGTAAACATAATTTCTTAAAATGGATTTATGTATCACCCCATTCCACCATTACCCACATTTTGGTTTAGCATTATCACTGAACCAGATCAATATTAATAGGTTATAAACCCACTTATAATAAGTTTAGAACAAGGATAATGGTGGAGATGGTATTTTCTTTCAAATACCCTAATTCAGCTGAGCTAAACAACAATCATCTAAAATAATCTCAGCTACAAATCTCTAGTACGTGAGAAGTATATTTATAAATGCTGTCATTCTCAGAAGTTTTAAATGGTAATTTCTAAAGAGAAACAGATTACAATTTTATTAAATACTCTATGGTTATATACAACTGCAAAAAATGTATACCAAAATATCAATTAGTAATGTTTGTCTCTTATCATAAATTCAGTTAAATCTGTTGTATCCTGCTTTCCCAAACTGACAAAATTTGACAAACCAAGATTGAAGTCAATATACCAAACCTCAGATTTACTGGCTATTTTCCATATCTTTCTTCAGTGAAACATTAGAACCTCATTGAGTAGGATTTTTTTCTTCTTTCTGGATGGCAAAAGAGCCCCTGCTCTAGTCTTCCCTACCCTTCCTTTACCTAGCATTTTTGTGTTCTTTCTCATATTGCTCAAGAGTAATGTTAAGCTTCTGTGTAATACTAGCTAACATGTCTCAGCACATACAAAAAATAAGTCATAATGATAAAGTCCATATTTTGCAATGTATATAATGCTTTTGTATATTGTTTTTAAGCTTTGTTGTATGCTGCCCAGAGTCACTTGTTTGTGAAATGGGCGGCCATATAAATAAATAATGAGAGGGGTATGAAGGGGTCATCCCAATCAGAATTTGCACAACATAAATGAAAGAAAATGCTACCTCATTGCACAAAAGAATGTAAGGAAAAAGAGCTAAAAAAAATTGAGGCACATATTAATAGCCCTAAAACAATAGCCCTAATAGCACCAATAACAAATTCTTTAAACATGTCAGAATTAGGAAACTGGCCAGAGAGGCAGCTGAACCTCTAGAAAACAAGGGAGTTCAAATACTACTAAAGGATAAGGAGACTGCAGAGAAAATGCAGAAATAATTTGTATCTGTCTTCACTGCCAAGGATAAATGGCAGATACCCACACTTGAAATGCTATCTTCAAGGGAGCCTGAAGAGGTGAAACAAATAATAGTAAGAAACGAAGTGGCAAACAAAAGAAATACTTGATCTAGATGACATCGACCTGAGAATTCTTAAATTAGAAGGAAAAAACCCTACTGAGCTATTAAAAATACATGCACAGTACAAAAAGGGGCATATTTAACACCAATGTAAGACCTAGGGGGATTTAGGAGATTACAGGTTGGTTACCTTAATTTCTTTCTACCAAAATTGCTGAGAAGAAATTAACATGGCTTCTGCAAAGAAAAACTCTGTCTTGCTAGCCTTTTTAGTTCTTTGAAAATTTCACAAATATATGTATAATTTTGTACAATGTTTATTTGGACTTTCAAAAAACCTTTTGGCAACATGCCTTAGTGTATGATAATTAACAATCATATAATGAGAGGAGAGATTAGTTATCTATTAGAGAACAAAAAAGGAAAGAATGCAAACAGTGGAATTCCCTAAGAATCTGTATTGGGATTGATATACATCTACTTTTTGTTTAAACAAAAGTAATGCAACTCAAGGGTTTCCAGTGCAAGCATTAGATTTATCCAAATCTGAATTCCAAGAACTGGACACTTCCAAATTAGCGAATCAGAAATGTTTTCTGGCAGATTATAACTGTTTGGACCTAGGCAGCTATGACATGTTAATAACAAATAATTTGAACAATTCCTGCCATATATATAGAACAATATTCTATTCTAACAGACTTTAACTTCTATAGACCAAGCCAACTTAATTTGGGAAATCCACTAAAACAGTTCAGAAAGGCAAAACCTCCTTTTTCAATTAAATCCAGAAAGGAAGGGGAGAGCAACAAACATATGATCTGTTGACACTTCATAAAGAATTTACCCATCATCTTAGTTTCTAGTATGAGTTAATATTATCTCCCCTACCTTAGACAGCAGAGAATGGTTACATAGTATTATTGTCCATAATGAAAAAAGGAAAACTGAAGCTTATTTGGTACAACCTTCTAGTAAATTATAAGTGGAAACGAGATTTGACCTGGGAGGTTTGCTAACAATCCAACAATCCTGTTCTGTGCTGGTCTAGTTCTCTGAAACCAAGTCAGGCTTTTGCAGATCCCTTGCCCCTACAAAGCGATATTTAAAGAGACACTGCTTCCCGCATAGAAGCTCTATTTTGGGCAATACTCCCCTCCCACTGTCTAGCCTATCCTAGGTCAATAAAGCACCCAAGTCTCCCAGTCTTTACAAAAATTTCCTTAAGCAAAGGGATCTCCAGTGGCGTAGCCCTACTGACACATTCGGAGCCCCCGAAGGAGCAGCTTGCCACGAACAGCTCCTTCCACGGAACGCTTTCCTTTCTCTTTCCCCCAAAAGAACCTAAAGCAAAAGCCACCTCTTCCCGTAAAATAAAGGCATCCGAACCACGTAAAGTTCCGCCGCCATTACGGGATAAGAATGGAGAGGAAAGGAAAGGGAGGCGATATCCCCCCTTAACGGATTAGTTATGCCGATAATTACTTTCGCTGCCTGCGGGATTCCTCCAGGTATACCTCCGGGGGGGGAACGTATTTCACCCCCAGCCTCGCGTTCGTTCCCAACTGCAGTCCCACGAAATGGAAAGCAAATGGTCCAACCCCAAAGCAGTCCCGCCGCGCTCGCTTCCCCTTTCCTCCCTCTCCTCAGCGGCACGAACAGCGCTGGCTGCCGCGGCTTCTGCAGCCCGCTCCCCTCGAAAGGCTCTGCCTGTCTTCTCGCTTTCGGCTTCCCCGCAAGAAAGAGAAGCATGACATTACCTTTCGCTTAGGAGTCTGTGTTTTCTTTATTTAAGGCTGCCGAGCAAAACAAGCTTGCCCTGCCCGAGGCCGGCCGCCCTCAGCGCCGCTACCCTGGCTTTTGGGGAGGCGGATATTAGCAGCAGTAGCAGTAGCAGTAGCAGTAGCAGCAGCAGCGCCACCGCCGCGCGCGGGTGTGTGTGCACGCGCTCAATACCGCCCCGGTGGAGGAAAGCCTGGTCGCGCGCGAGCATTCGATTCCCTCACGTTCTCATCTTGCGCGCGCAGCTCCTTCCTTTTTAAATTACCGACGTGGCGCGCTCAATGATGTCGCGGGTCAGACAAACGCGGCGTTCTTTTTTTGTTTGTTTGTTTGCATTCGCCCGCCTTCTCTGTGCTCACGCCCACCCCGGACTGGCTTCCGCGCGCCTCTCGCGAATCACCCCTAGGAGCCCGACGATAGGAAAAGAAGCGTTCGTCGCAAGCACGTGCCACCTCTTGTCCAATTGGAGGTAGAAGAAGGATGATTGGTTGAAGTAGAGAATGGAGTAGAGTAGGAGTAGAAGGGGTGGTCGAGGAAGAAAATGAGAAGGGTCGTCTGTATGTAACAGTCAGTGCTAGGAAGACGTTCTGGCCGGTGGCTAATCACGGGCTTGCATCATTATTCGACAAAGAGACAAGATGCTCCTTTTCAACAAGGCCTTTTGAATTGGGTTTAGGGTAATGTTAGTATGGATTTTTACTTGTGTTGCAGTTACGCTTATTTTCCTTCCTATTGCTTTAGCTGTGCTTTTATCTCGTTTTATATTTCTGTTCCACTGGATTGTCCTGCTGAAGGGGAATATTGCTGCAGCTGATATGTAGCTTTCATTACATATAATTATAGGTTTTCATTACACATTAAAATTTTATAGTCAGGGTGTTCTTTAATGCTGAGAAGAAATTGCTGTTTCATATTCACACTTATTACATATCAGCTCTTCTATCTTAATCAATTACAGCTGATAGAAACTTGTCAGTGGTAGCTGAAATTATCTTTTTATTAGAAGCTTAAGTGCTAGCAGCTAATTATGTCAGTGGTATATCACTAGCACATACTGTGTAATGGTCTTATTCAGGCTTTCAATTAACAGGATTCCTTAATGGGCCATTTCTGTGGCTCTAGGGCTACAATGCTTATCTTGTGGATGTTTCTACTGCATAGGGCCAGTTTCCAACATGTGATGTTGCTGAATGTCATCTATTGGATTTTGGTTTGGAATTAATAAAAATAGGCCTTGAAGGCTGTAATTCTGTACAGATCTGGGATGTAACTTCATTGGGCTGACTGCTTTCAAACATTGCATTAAACAATGTGGTTTATCTAGTTTGGGCATAGCATGCTATGTGAATCCTGCCATTGTGGCTTGTAATCAGTGGCTTATGACTTAGCATCATGTGTGAAACCAATTATTTGTGATTTATTCAGCAAAGCATGGCTAAATTAATGACAGTTTATTGGAATGCAATACTGTAACAGATCAGGTTAAAAGTTCCATTGAAACCTTTGAGATTTCCAATCTCCATACCCACTTGATTTTCTTTTTTTCTTTTAAAGCCTTTTAATAAAAAATAGGAAATCAGCATGTTGCAAAACAGAAAATAGCCTCTAGTATTATATTTATTTCCCAGAATGGCTCAAATTTCCACTTGGATCTCAGAAGCGTACTTAAAGAAATACAAATGGCTGGTAGCTGCAACCCATGCTTTGGTGAGAGACGATATTGGGGATCAACTCACCAGTTTGCTTCTGATAAATGAGTGATTGGGTGTACTCTCTGTGATAGCCATTCTGTGAGAACGCCCATGATACGTTATCAACATTCCAAGCCTCCCAAAGGTTGAGAACATATGGTTATCTTTTAAAAGTGTAAATAATTACTAAAATTGTACTAAATAGATTTTCTTTCCTCCAGGGCCAGTTCTATATAATTCTTTGCCAGGTTTCCCCTTAGTGAATTTTGGCAGGAATTCTGAGGTACTAGCAATCGTCAGAGATTATTCATTGATTATATTATTATGAAAGCGTGGGGACCCAGAAGTGATTCTCTTGTCCTCTGTGAAGACAAAACAGTATCAGAAAGCACCTTTCTTAAAAAAAAAAAAAAAAAAAGTTAAGTGGTTAATTTTTTTTCCTATGGCTGTTTTTACATGAAAACTATTTTAGCCTAGCATGTTGTGCAAACCCAAAAATTGATTCATTAATGATTCAGGGTATCATGCCAGCTCAGAAACTGGGATAATTGAGCTTCATTTGGGTGAGCAAGACTTTTCATTCAATGTTATTTTCCATCCCTTTTACTTATGCTTCATTCTAATGTGCTAATGCCTTTTGACAAGCACATCAGCATTCATTTTCTGACTGAAAAAGAAAAAGGTCACTTGTGTCCAAAATGAAATGAATCACTCTGAAAACTGGATAGGTCAGAGATTTAGACTGACAATTTTGACTTTGACCAAGTTGTTAACTGAAAATTTGAAGTGTGAGAGCTTGGGGGCCTGGCAGTATTTATTTGTCCAGAAGATCATAGCACATTATGATTAATGCAGAAGAATGAGGATAAGGGTACTACCCATGCTTTTAAAAAGTCCTATTTTGATCATGTCTAAATGTCAGCAGTTAGATAGGATAAAACTTGCCAGAACAGAGAAAAATGTGAGAGAAATTCATTTGTTAAATTCTATATTAGATTTTTAGTGAAGAAAAGGAAAAGTCCCTTTTTGGATACTTGAGTGACTAAAATTATGTATGGGCTAAAATATGTGTTCCTTAATCATGGTTTACTATATAAATCACAGTTGGCTGGATTTATCTGACCACAGTTTAAAAACCACAATGGATGGGTTCACACATCATGTTGATACACCATGTGGTTTGGCTTTGACTTGGCATGTTGTATGAACCCAGCCTGAGATCCAGTTTAATGCTGATGTGCTGAACTGAGTTCATTAAAAAAAGGTACTCTTTGGAAGCATCTCAAGATCTTTTAAAATGCTGTTGGGCTGAGTCCCATTTCAGAAATAATGGCTCCATGCTATCCTAAACAATCTGAATGTGCTTCAGGCTCACCTGTTCCCCATACACACTTCAAAAGAGGAAAGAAACTAACACCCATTTGATTTTATGTTAACCATAGCGCTATATGACTTATAAGGCATTCCAACTACAACTGTGGCTTTTTAAAATCATACATAGCAAGAACTAGCCAAGAATCAAATCCTGGTTTCAGATCTGGCTTTATTCTCAAACCATAGTTATTAAAAGCAAAGCTTTTGATGTTCTCCTGCAGTGTCTTAAAAAAGGAAGGAGTGGACATTGTACAAGCTTAAAATGTATTCATGAAGAAAGAAATAGGGTTTTCTGAACTAGATTGAATTACTTAAAGAACATATTCTTCCTCTACTTCCCCATTGTATACAGATCAGAACAAGAGAAACAGTGTGGAAAGAAGCTGGAAGGTGTGAGAAATGCATCTCTTTCTAAAGTTTCCTTTTTAACATAGGTGTTCTCGTGACCTTTTTTCCCCTAAGTTCTAAGTGATTTCTTACATTAAAAATAAAAAGTCTACAATCTGATTACAAGAGTAGAGATACCTATCAGTCTCTCATATCCTTCCCCCATCCACTTTGCTAGGTTCTTCACCTGGCCTTTCAACTCCTGATTGCTTTTTGTTGTGTGAGCCTTGTAGGCAAATGCTGATTGCTATAATCATGTTTTGTTTGTGTTGGATTTTAATAACTACACAGTTCCTTTCCAAAAACTCTGAATAAGCACCTACATCTTTTGCCTCCTCGCTGCTGCTGCTAGGAATGCCCCAGAGATCCTCCATCTATCACAGAGAGAGCTTTCAGGTCAGATGAACGAACATTAAAAAAAAAGTCAACTGTGTTCTCCACTCCCTCAATGTGACTTAAGCTGGGACGCATCCAGCTCATTGTCATCTTCATTACTGCTGACCTTGAAACACTGAGAACCATTCATAAGCCAACTAATATTCCCTCTAGTTGACCAATTGGGGAGCAGAAAAATGTACTTGAGCCAGGCCCTCCCATACACTGTGTCTGCTTCTTTGGTGATTTGTAAACACACACAGAGCGGTTAATAGGTGGAGGAAAACAAGCTGCCAGTACATTATCCCTCACAATTTAATAAGAGAATTGTGACACATGAAATAGAAACATCTCTGAAAGATGCTGTCACCAGTGAAACGATGGAGAGGAGGGAGATTCCAGGAGCTGGGAGACTTTTCAGTCTTAAGAACAACCTCTTCTAGGATAACTGTTTCTCCTGCCACATGGATATCTTTATTAGACAGAACTGGCAGAGGGAAACTTATATAATACTTCCCCTTTCGATCTATGGTGCAATAACCAAGGTTTTTTTTTTTTAAAGCATGTGATGTGCTAAGAAAAAAAAATGCTGCATTATCCTGAAATCCAAGGAAAATGTGCAAACATGTCTTGAGTTTTGGAGATGATTCAGAAAATATAAATACAGCTGTTTGACTCATTGAGCCATTCGCTGAGATAAAGTGCTCTCCACCCAGATTTGAATTGGCAGAAAACTATACCAGCATGAAATTGACTGTCCCTATCCTGCTTTTACTGCCTCTTTTCCCAGTCACTGCATTCATCTGGTTTCCCTGTAAGGTAATGAGACAAAACCTAACAGATTTTGCACATATTGAGGCTGTCCTTGACTGGTCTTAGAATGAGGAAGACACTACTTGAACACTGAAGCCTGTCTCATTCGTGGACTAAGGATGAAATGAAGACCAGGTCATGGCAATGTGGCAGACAAAAAGGCGTTGCCAGGGTGTATTTGTGCCATAGCTAGCTGGAACCATGCTTCGGGTTTTCAGGAGACCCTAGCGTTGTTCAGTTTTATGTGCTGATGTCATTACATGCACTTCTCCAGCCAGTTTGAGGGAAAAAAACTAATATTGATACAAGGTGGGGATGAATACTATACTGGCAAATCCTATGTTTGTTTCATAACACATAGTTTCACTGCAGTGACCTGTATGATAAATCTGAATTGATCAGGAAGGAGATGCAATTGAAAATTCTGGAATTTCCTGTTTATGTGGTTAAGAAAACCACAATATGGATATACTGATTTGTGCCAGGTTCTCTTATTTTGGATAACCATTTTGGATTTTTTTTTTTAAGAAGCCAAAAATCTTGGCCAGGCTTTGGGAATAATTTTGCCTGAATCCTTTAGAAAGACCTTAAAGGAAATTGCAACCATTTCCCTTCTGTGTCACGTTAAAGTCTGTTGATTGATTAAGCAAGCTTCCTCTGATACCGCTTTTGAGCAATAGGAAGTTTGTCCTTTTTATAGTACTGTAGATTAACCATCCACTGCTTTTTTCCTGCAAAGCTGCTTTG